CTAATTTCATGGTCGATGACCTTCTCCATTGCTTTTAGCAGAAAGGAGGTAAGACTTATCGGCCTGAAGGACTTAGCGAGAGAGTAGTCTCTCTTACCTATCTTCGGGATAAATATAACCCGAGCCCTCTGTCACACCTTGGGGATGTGGGCCAGCGTTAAGCTCGCCCGCATGATGTTGACGAAGTGTGGCAGCAGGAACTCCTTACCTTGCTTCAGCAACACTGGACTGATGCTATCCACCCCAGGGGATTTGTACCGAACAAAGGAGTCCAAAGCCCAGCAGACTGATCGGTGGATGATTAGACTTCTAGCCAGCTTCCAGTCTGCAGGGGATGGCCTAGTTATTTGGCATGGTACCTCCCTCGTGGTCGGAGTGGCATCCGGGAAGTGGGCCGAGAGCAGGGCAAGCGCCCTCTCTTTTTCGTTCCCTGAGTAGGTACCATTAGCTAGCCGGATTGCTAGTTTGGTGTCAGTATGATCCCTCGCCAGGGCCTTATGTAGTCTAGCGGCTGCAGGAGTCGATGTGATGTCCTCACAGAACTTCCTGAAGCTGCCCCGTTTGGCCTTCCTGATCTCTTTACTGTAATTAGTTAAACTGGCTGAATACTCCGCCCAAATCCCTGTACGCTTTGCCCTATCAAAAAGTTTTCGTACCTGCGTTCTGAACACCGATAGCTCCCGAGACCACCAGTTGGGCTGAGCCTTCCCTTTTGGTTTCGCCTAAGGGCAGCTGGAGTGAAAACTCCTCATATGATCGACGTGCCTGTTCTTGGACTGTATTTCAGTCAAGTTTGATTTTAAATTTTCGCTGTATCGCTCCCAGTCAGTTTTCCTGGGGTTTCTAGTTGCTCGGTTTATTCTCGCCTCTGCTCCCAGCACAAATTGGATAATCCTGTGGTCCGATAATGAAGGTTCCGACGAGACCCCCATTGGGTGACCAGAAGACTAGCCAATCTGTTGCTGAGCGTAATGTCCAGTACCTCTTTCCTAGCCCTCGTGACAAATGTCGGTGTTTGGCCAACATTGTGGATGCTAAGCTCTTCGCTTAAAATGTACTCTAAGAGACACTCACCTCTGCGATTTGTGTCCGTGCTGCCCCATTCAACATTGTGGGCGTTCGCATCGCACCCCCTATAAGGTGGAGCCGTCTCCTCCTGCAGTACTCCACTAACCTCTGTACCTCTTGCGGTGGGGCATAGCTGCTGTCTCCCGGAAAGTAGGCCGCGGCGAACACCACCTCTACGTTGCTATCGCAAATGGTCAGCGACATCTGCACTGCGACTAGGTAATGTGTTAAAAATTCTGTATTGCAANTCTCCTCCTGCAGTACTCCACTAACCTCTGTACCTCTTGCGGTGGGGCATAGCTGCTGTCTCCCGGAAAGTAGGCCGCGGCGAACACCACCTCTACGTTGCTATCGCAAATGGTCAGCGACATCTGCACTGCGACTAGGTCATGTGTTAAAAATTCTGTATTGCAAAAATAATCAATATTTTCTTTAAGCACTACACACGCTCTGGGCCTCTCACTGGAGAGGTCCCAAATTACCTTGTTCCTTTTATGGTTGAGGCCCCTCACCTGGCCTCTGTAGGTCCATGGCTCTTGGATCAGTAGGATGCCCAGGCCACCCGTGGCGAACCTGCTGGTGATGACCGCCGAAGCAGCCACCGCGTGATGCAGGTTGACCTGGGCTACTGCCAAGTGTCGGGGATTCATATGTGGAGCTCGTCAAGGTCGGAGAGCTGTAGTTCGCTCTCGTTCCGCTTGTCAAGCTCTAGTCGCTTCAAGTCCATACCTGATAGCCTCTCCTGCGTAGAGGGANGTCTCCTCCTGCAGTACTCCACTAACCTCTGTACCTCTTGCGGTGGGGCATAGCTGCTGTCTCCCGGAAAGTAGGCCGCGGCGAACACCACCTCTACGTTGCTATCGCAAATGGTCAGCGACATCTGCACTGCGACTAGGTCATGTGTTAAAAATTCTGTATTGCAAAAATAATCAATATTTTCCGTAAGCACTACACACGCTCTGGGCCTCTCACTGGAGAGGTCCCAAATTACCTTGTTCCTTTTATGGTTGAGGCCCCTCACCTGGCCTCTGTAGGTCCATGGCTCTTGGATCAGTAGGATGCCCAGGCCACCCGTGGCGAACCTGCTGGTGATGACCGCCGAAGCAGCCACCGCGTGATGCAGGTTGACCTGGGCTACTGCCAAGTGTCGGGGATTCATATGTGGAGCTCGTCAAGGTCGGAGAGCTGTAGTTCGCTCTCGTTCCGCTTGTCAAGCTCTAGTCGCCTCAAGTCCATACCTGATAGCCTCTCCTGCGTAGAGGGCACGTGTTCCGCTGAGGTAGTGGTAGCGGTAGGCCCGAGCGTGTTTGCAGGAGCTGGTGTTACTGCGAGGAGTGGCTGCTCCGCCGATAAGCCCGAGGTCGACTCGGCCGTCTGGGCAGCAGAGGAACCGGCGACCGCGTCGATTTGAGTCTCCTGCGACTCCGACTCCTTGCTGCCTGTCGCCTTTTGTCTCCACGGTCTCACCGTGACGAAGCTGAACCTATAGTTCAGGTTGAAGACAGCCCTCTTTATACTGACGTAAGACTCCTCATCAATGCCTAGGAATATCCTGCGCCCGTTATCCTCAGTGGTGCTGGACACTACTTTCCACGCAGAAGTGTGGATACCCTCGTTCTGCGCTTTTAGTAGCCCCAGCGCAAACTCGGCAGATTTGTCGGCGCTCCTTGGGAGGAACACCGTGATGTTATGCAACGGAGGGATATCGTCCCCTCTCTTCGTGCACATCCCGGGTCCCTTCCAGCCCTCAAGTGCTGGTGCCTTCTCCGCCAGCCAGGTTGCTGTTTTCTCGTCCCTGGAATCTACGAGAAGCATACCGGACCAGAAGTACACCCCGCAGAATGCCAGCGGGTCCGACCAACCTTTGAAGACCTCTTCTATGATGGCATCTTGGAGCCTGGTTCGGTCCTCTGGGCTCAAGCAGCAGGGTACTCACACGGTAGCACCGCTACCCGGATGCCTGTGAGGGTCTCCGAGTAGCTGGGCTGCTGAGTGGCGCCCTCTTGCACCTGTCCCTGCCCGGCCGCCACAGCCTGGCTCTTAGGCCATGATTTCGGAGTAGGTGGCTGATCCCGCTGCCGTTTGGTGCTTGGTGTCTTAGGCGAAGTAATTTGATTGCTCCCTCTCTTGACTGCGTCTCCTTTGTTATGGCCAGTGGGTTCCCCGCTTCTCCGCCATCTGGCGGGCGCGGGTCTGTGCTGCTATTGTTGCTGTGGACCGCTTCTCTGCTTTGCAGCAGGCGCGGGTAAGTGTGCCTGTTTATTGGGGCCGCTCTTCCACCTATCGGCAGGTGCGGGTTTGTTGCCTTTACTGCTACGCTCTTTCTCGACCTCCATTCTGACGCAGGCCATGGTTCTGGCCTCAACTGGGGGCTGGCCCTGTTCCAGGTACCGGAGGTACCACTTGACCCCGGAGCCGCTCAAACCTTCGCGGTTTCTCTTCCTCCTCTGCT